TTCCCACAAATGGTTGGGATAGCGGTGCCTTAATGATAAATTGACTCTTGGACCAGAGAGAAGAGAGAGACTAAAGCCTGGTGGAAGTTACAGCATATGCAGGCAAGTGAATGCTGTGTAAGTGAGACTCCCCATCTCTGCTCTGCGAGAGCCTTCTAATGCTGATTGACAGCCCTGTTTCACATCCCACTAGATTCTGAAGACAAAGAAACTGCCAATTTCCATAGGATAATATGTTGGTACTGGGCTGAAATCCACCTCATTTATCATCTTCCAGGCACTCTTGCTAGATTATAATCTAGCCTGGATTGACAGTAACATATCTGAGCCCATTCTTCCCTCTTTAATTGACATTTTACAATCCCCAATTCCACCTCTGATCCTTCATCGATTGCCCCGACCCTATTCATTCTCTCTGCACATTGAGAACTACAGCTTGATTTGCTGCACTTCTGATGAATATTTGCAACCAGACTGGAAAAGAAAAGCCAACAAGGTGATGCCAGAGAGAGAGGCAAAGCCTTTGATCAGCACACATCGAATCCTGTATCTAGCAGTCTCCCCTTGTGCAGAAAGTTCTTTTTCCCCCTTCTGGGCAACAAAATCAATTTCTGTTGTTTGTACACTGCAGTTTTAGCTTGTTTGGATAGCTGGACGGGCAGTTTTTTTTACAGTAGGTCACTTGCTGGGGTCATTAAGAGGCCAACAGTGAAACAGATAGATGGTTTCTATTCCCTGAGAACAAAAGCCTCAGCAGTTCTAGGGCAGCCTCGTTCCTCCACTTTTGTGCTTGCCACCAATCTAGAACTGTTGCTGTAACATCTGGGTGCCACAGGAGAAGCAAAGGGGCCACCAGTTTCAAGTCAGTGCAGGCCTTGGGGAGATGTGTATCTTCACTCAGTCACAGCATTGGCATTCTGCTACAGTTATCTAGCAGAATACTTTTTTTCTGTCCTCAGACACTATCACTGGGTTAACCAGCCTTGGGGAAGGGACTTGCCTGCAGGCTTCCTTAAAATTTCCTTCCCCCACACTTTTCAAGAGTTGGATGCGGGGAAGAAAAATATTCATTGCCATTCATCCTGAGGCTAAGCTAGAAGAAACCCATCTCTGATACTTTGTCAAGTAACCTTTTCTCTTCCCCTGCCACTAGAATAGTAAACAGCAGATTTCAAAAAGGGCAAGAGGTTTTCTCAATATCGCTTTACTGAAGCGCTTATCAGCAGATCCACAAACCATGTTCTTTCTTCCCAGGCATGGCCCTGACAGGTTCCTTTACTGCCACAAAGGAGACAGCTGGGGACCGATGTCTGAGGGAGATGTCAGGGAGTGCTGTTCTGATGGAGGCACACTCTAATTCTTGCCACTGCTCATGAATGAATCAAAATGTAGTTTAGGTGATTTGAGGCACTTGTAGGTGCTATCCTGCCTGGTTCTCACTGGAGTGGATGGTGAAGGTGGATCCCTGCATGCTACCGATTTTGTTTGGTCCTTCTGCATGAACTTCTCCAGTCTCTTTCTAGTGTCCAGCGGCTGCATTTCTGTGCATTTTCACCCCCATCCCCACACTCACAGTTTTTGTCTAGATTTTATATAGTAGCTCCCCTCCTATATTTGGCCTCTTCCCTGTCTGGCGCATGTCAAATCAAAGAATAATTGCCACGCACGGGCCTGTAATTGAACTCCTAAAGCTTGCTTTTCTTTGAGATCAGTTTGGTTGGTGAGCGGGTGGGAAGTGGATTGGTTCCCTGGACTGAGAAAAAACATATGAACAGTCTCTTCCTGTACTGACTCAACATCACGTTCATTGGTGGGAGGGTGGAAGAGTCATGTCTCTTGCGGATCAGAACCAGGCTGCGTTGGACAACTACCCCATCATGTTGACCCATTCTCATGTCCATCAAGTACCTGGGTATCTTTATAACTGTCAGGATGTGGGTTTGCTTTAATTTCTGTCTTTTGGGGATATCTTCCCTCTCAGTCCGGTAGCAAGCCTCTCCTTGTGACCATGCATGTAACTATTGATTTGAGGCTGAATCACTGATTTAAAAAAACCAACTCAAAATATTAGATGGTTGAAAACTTGCACATTATCATTTCTCCCAGCTGATAAGGCACTAATGAGTCCTGTTTTGTCACCAAGATGGGATGTAGTATATACACACACTGTTGGCAGTATTCTCTATCCCCAAACCCTACATACTAGTGTGAGGGCTTCTGTGTTTGATCTGTTTCTGTGAATGTTTTAGTTTGGGAATGAATACTCAAAGAGAGCTCAAGAGAAATTTGTTCAGGGGAATGTCAGCCTGTCAGAATGAACTGAATCTTGTCAGCTGGTCTGTCAAGCAGCTGCCCCTTTTCTAACAAGATTTTGAGGTAATGGAGATGGCACAGCCCCAACCTGTAAGTCTCTCCCTTTGTCCTTGTAAATACTCCGCCCCACTACTTTTCAGGTAACCCTCACCCTCAGCACTGCAGCTCTTCACTGTCAGACAACCTAGATTGTGTGAAGAGGCCAAGGGGCTGTGATTAAAAAAAAAAGGCTCCCCACAAACATTACTGACATATCCATTCCAGAGTAGGAGGCTTCTGTCATGAGTTGAGGTTCCTCCTTCAAACAAACGCCAGCCACAGTCCATTTTTCTTACAAACATTCTTTATTGCCTCTAGTAAAATCCACCCAGACCGAATCTCTGAGCATGCAGGGAACAGTTGTTGAACCCAATCTAGTGAATACGTCCAAAAACTCTCTTTCCTTCTTTCCTTCTTTCCTTCTTTCCTTCTTTCCTTCTTTCCTTCTTTCCTTCCTTCCTTCCTTCCTTCCTTCCTTCCTTCCTTCCTTCCTTCCTTCCTTCCTTATTTATTTATTTATTTATTTATTTATTTATTTATTTATTTATTTATTTATTTGGAACACTTATATGATGCCCCATTCGCAAAAGCCTCGGGGTGGCTTCCAATTCAAATAAATAACTGTACAAATACATAAAAATCTGGAGACATCCTGACATAAATATAAAATCAATAAATAAATTCAACAATTAAAATAACGTTTAAAGAAAAAGGTCTTGGCCTGGCGCCAAAAAACAACGACTGCGCCAGGTGGACCTCTCTGGGGAGCGCATTCCATAAGTGGGGCACCACCCTCAGAGAAGGCCCACAGAGGGCAGATATGGATGCAAGCACTCCATTAGATAACCAGGTTCCAAGCCGTTAAGGGCTTTATAGGTGATAACCAGCACCTTGAATTGGGCCCGGACTTCAATGGGGAGCCAGTGAAGCTGACAGAGGACCGGGGTTATATGAGAACAACACCCAGTCCCCGTCAGCAACCTGGCAGCTCTGTTTTGCACCAACTGAAGTATCTGGACCGTATTCAAGGGCAGCCCCACATAGAGCGCATTACAGAAGTCTAATTGGGAAGTTACCAATGCATGTGTCACTGTCGCCAGGCAGTAGTTCTCCAGGTAGGGACGAAGCTGATGGATCAGCCGAAGCTGAAGGAAAGCACTCCTCACCACCGCTGTCACCTGAGCTTCTAACGACAGCTCTGGGTTGAGGAGCACTCCCAAGCTGCGGACCCTGTCCCTAAGAGGGAGTGCAACCCCATTCAGGACAAGGTCCAGGTCCCCCACCCCGAAGCCCGAACCGCCTACCAACAGGACCTCCATCTTGTCTGGATTGAGCTTCAGTTTATCGGTTTATGAACATGTCTGAGCCTCAACCCCACGGAAAGGGCTCTCTAAAGGTGGGCCTGCTGCCTATCTAATTGGCCCTCTTGCCTCTGCTGGTGCCTTGCCACGGGGTTCAGATCAGAGGGAAGGAGCTGGTCCACAGCTTGGAGCGCCTCATCCCCTGCAATCCCTCCCACTGGCTGTATGTCCATTCCATTCCCGAGATCTGCTATGAGCTAATCACCTCCACCTCCTCCCCCTGTTGTAACCCAATTCCTTGAGCCAAATCTTGCTCCCCATTCTCACTAAGACATTCTTCTTCACTTGAACCTGAATCAGTGCCTGGGATGTGGCTGGTGCCCAGTAGGAACACATGCCCAGACTGCCATTCCTCTTGCTTCCAGCAGTTCCTCAGGAGAGACATATTGCAGTCTTCCCCTCTTTTTAAAACCTAAAATGAGTTTGACCAGAGGAGACAAAGATTTACTGTGCTCAGTTGTGTTTCTCTATTCCTACTTAAATTGGCCCATAACACTGGCCTTAGAGAAGAACCCTCATTTCTCAGTGTCATCTTCCTGACTGAAGTGTGCAGCCAACAACAGCTTGAGAGCCTTAGTGGTTCTGAGGGTTTGCCTACAAATAAGCCATGCGAGGAGTATGATACAGAGAAAAGCTGCATGGTGAAACAAGGAGTGATCTGTCTCCTGGAGTGCATTCCCAAAGACAGGGAGGACCCCATCACCCAGCAGCTCTGCTGTCAGCTCAGATCTGATATCCTGTCTATTAAGATGAACTCTTATACAGTACAGCAATCTGACCAAGCTGAGGCTCACTGCAGCATCTTCCACAGGAATTCTCTTTTGGCTATCAGTGATGCATGCAGTAGTTAAAAAGAAAAAGCCTGTAGCTCCCCCTTCAAGATAGTTTTGGCCTGCAGGTTACTCTGCAGCGAAACCAACTAGTTCATCAGGTAATTCTATCTTGCTGAGGTTCAATGTACCCTGTGACTACAGTGAATTAATTTTCTAATTAGTGAATGCACCTGAAATGCGAAGATGCATTTTAATATCAATCATGTGGCTTAGCTGAGAAGAATGGTGCCAGCCCTACAGTTGAATTCCTGATCAAACTGGTTCAACTAGGAGAGGCATAGGCATGAAACTTGACAGAACAGTGGACAGCTCTTGTACAGAATTCTGTTTGTCTGCATTGCTACCTCTAAGGACAAATGTTGATCCTTCTCCCAATACTCCATCTCAGTTGTGAAACAAATGAATACAAATGGCCTACGCTGTGAACCTACTAGTTGTCTGTTCCTTGTTTCAGTGCGGCGAGTGTCACCTCGATTTTCAATTCCTCCAAGTGACCACGAGGTGATGCCTGGAGGGAGCGTGAACCTCACATGTGTAGCTGTGGGATCCCCAATGCCCTATGTGAAGTGGATTGTTGGAGATGTTGAGCTGACAAAAGAAGATGACATGCCAATGGGCAGGAATGTTCTAGAGCTGATCAATATCACACAGTCAGCCAACTACACCTGTGAAGCCATGTCCTCACTGGGTGTTATCCACGCAACTGCACAAATCACTGTCAAAGGTAAGATGTGTCGCATGGTGTCACAGCTTTGTGTTTTAGGAAGGAAGGAGGGAAGAATGAATCCCAATGTCCCAGTCACAGAAATTTTCATCTGGATAGATGTTGGTTCTGTGAGAGTAGTTCAACTTCCCAGCTGTCATAGCCTGGGATTCCTTAATTAAGGCATGTGCTACCAGTGCCTGCAGCCCACAACCTTACTGCTCTTGTAGCAGCAGTACAGTTGGGCTGTACTGTCACTCCTGGTATTCTCTCTGAATTGGACCTGACTCAGGCTTCCTGAAGAGTATCTCAGTCGAAGAACCTATTCTCCCTTGGAAACCTCACTTTGGATCCTTATTTAAATTTTATTTAATCAGCCGCCAGCAAGTTCTTTGAGTTCATCTAATAGCATGATTGTTATGTTTACCCTTCCATTAAGAAGCACTTCAAGGAATATATGCTAATAGGCAGTATAAAAATGTCATTTCTGACCATGAAATGATGTTAATAAGAGCTTGAAACACCTGTATTCTTCACATTGCACTATTTGCACTAATCAAATTACTGTCAACAACATGCTTTTTTATTTTCAGCATTGCCAAAGCCACCAACGGAACCATTAGTGACTGAGACAACAGCAACCAGTGTGACTCTAACATGGGACTCAGGAAATGCTGAACCTATCTCCTACTACGTTATTCAGTATAAGCCCAAGACACTGGAAGGGACTTTCCAAGAAGTGGATGGTGTGGCAACAACCCGCTATAGTATCGGTGGACTGAGCCCATTCTCAGAATATGAGTTCCGTATTATTGCTGTAAACAATATTGGCAGGAGTCTCCCCAGTGAACTGGTTGAGGCACGGACAGGAGAGCAAGCTCCATCAAGCCCACCACTCAAAGTAAAAGCACGGATGCTGAGTGCCAGCACCATGTTGGTTCAGTGGGAACATCCTGAAGAGCCCAATGGACTGATCCGAGGTTACCGGGTGTACTATACCATTGATCCACACCTGCCACTCAGCATGTGGCAGAAACACAACACTGATGACAGTCTTCTCACCACCGTGGGCAGCTTGATAACAGGGACTACCTACAGTATCCGTGTCTTGGCTTTCACCTCAGTAGGAGATGGGCCCCCTTCTGATGTCATCCAGGTCAAGGCCCAACAGGGTGGTATGTATATACTTGGTGTGAACAGTATCTCCATGGCCTGCTATATCCTAATATTTCTAAGAGCCAACAAATTGACTCCATGTTTCTAGTTTGATTCAGAAACAGATTGCATACATGGTGAGGAAAATCTTTGGGCTTTTTGTTCTGGATCGGTGGGCCATTTACCTTTTCAGATTGTAGATGGTTATTCTGTATGCACTCTGGAAGTGAGTGCATAAACCGGTTGTTTATAGGTTCAGGACAGTGGTGTCTGCAGTTAACAGGTGACATAAATCACTAGCCTGAGAGAGAACATCATTGTTTTTGCTTAAATATGGAGCTTGGGAGAAAGAGATTATGCTAAGCAGAATTCTTGAGAATGCATTAATGGTAAGAGTTATGTCTTGGAAAAGTCTTAAAGCTTCCTTTGAGCGTGCCCTCCTGCTGACTCTTGTTTTACTGGTCCCCAGTTCCAGCCCAGCCAGCTGACTTCCAGGCTGAGGCAGAGTCTGACACAAGGATCATGCTGACTTGGCTGCCAGCATCTCAGGAACGCATCACCAAATATGAGCTGGTGTTCTGGGAAGCTACAGATGCGATCGAGGTGAGTGGCACAATCACTCATTACTACACCAACATTGCCTATGGTGCTCATTTTGGTGCTCAACTTTTGAAGCTACATACCTTTTAGATATGGACCCAATTAAAATATTCATGCAGCTGTCTGATATTGAAAACGACTTGTGTCTGAGCAGGGCTCTATGCACCTAGGAAACCTAGCATATGCTTCCACATGGAAAAGAAGTTCAAGAGCTCTTGCAGTCACATGATCCCTGCCCTTGAGAAACAATTTCTGTTGGCAACCACACCTATTCTTTGGATTTGGTCTCAGAAGCTATCTAGTGGCAGGCCCCTTACCCTATTACGTTCTGGCTCTGAAGTGAAGGACAACCACAGCTTGTCTCCCATGTATGCTATCTCAACAGAACACATGCCTCCTTAGGCAGGCTCTATAGTGTCTGGGAAGTGACAGTGATTCATTCAGCATGAGTATACATAAGATGAGCAAAGACCAGGGCTCTGTGTCATCTTTGCTTGACAAATATCAAAATTATACATGAAGCTCACCTAAATTCTGAACCTAGAAACTCTGGATTCTGTGGTATGAATTAAACAGATAAAATATTTTTCTTGTATTGACTAGTTTGTATAATCCTTCTGCTAGTCATAGGGAAGAATCCTAATAGTGGAAGCCCTAGTGAGCTCCACTCTGGGTTAAGGAATTTCGCAGGCATTGCTCTCATCCTTTATTGTTACATCCTTATGCTCCAAAACCATAGTTTAAAAAGAGAGAAAGCCTTTCTCTGAATGCTGATTTCTGTAGCTAATATCAGATTCTGTGATTTTTATGTGCTTCAAGGAAGTCACAGAATACAGACAGTCTTGCTAAAGACCACATCCCCTGAAAGTTTCATATTGGCACGGAGACCAACCTAGATGTAAAAACACCATATAGCTTGAAATGAATTGCATTGCTCCTATAAGTACAGATTTGTCTGTTAATGTTGTGCCTTAGATTGCACATTATCAGCATTGCTTAAAACAATACCTATCTGTTATCTTACCCCCCGCCCAAAAGCCTTTCCAATTCTGCAATCATTTTAGCATTATATAACTTTATGGCATTAATATTTTACTGCCTTAAATTATTGTTCACCACCTTAATGGCATTTTAGCAAACATTTATACATAATAGTAAATAAATGTTACCATACAACAGTGACAAGATGTTGCAAGAAAAAAGGCTTTCTTCTAGTCTGGGAGTGGGGAGTGGGGACTGTTATGTAAAGTCTTGGAGAGCTTTCTCTAATGGTTTTGCATTGGCAAGTTGAAGGTTATTATGGGTACTTTTCCAGTGGACAGACATTTCATTCTTGGAGAGGGTCAGAGCAGTGAGTTCTTGGCTGCCTTGGGGTAAGGTCCCAGCTACTGGAATGTGTTTAACATTGCATTGTTACATTATTTGTATTTGTAGCAAGAATTCAAGACACTTGTGGGAGTGGGAGGAAGTGGCACCAAAAGCCATGCTTTTCCTTCGTTTCCATCAAAGTAAAACTTGCATCTTGCCTTTTCTAGCATAAGGTGGAGTTTGACCAGACCTCATCGTACGCAGTTGAAGGGCTCAAGCCAGACACACTGTACAAGTTCAAGCTGGGAGCCCGCTCTGAGCTGGGCTTGGGGGTCTATACTCCAGTTTTGGAGGCCCGAACAGCACAGTCCAGTAAGTGTCTCTGTCTCACAGTAAGAGAATGAGCAAGGGGAAAAAGCTGTTGCCTTTTTGTATGAGAGGTAATGGGAGGTTGGACACAAGAGCTAGAGGGATGTGGCGTGACAAGCCAGGGTAAGTCTTGCCTTTGTTTTCTTCCATCCATGCTTTCCCCTTTCAACAGGTGGACTCACAGATATGGTGGGGAAAGGGAATAGGTGGGAGAAGCTGATGGGATTTATTTCCCATGTTTCTGTGAGTTTACTGGCACATTCTCTCCCCCACCCCCACCTCACCTCACTATTTGGCTGTGAGCGGGTTTAGACTGTCTGACATCTGCACCCTGTGCATGCGCATTTCTGCTCTGCATGTCCTCATATCCCAGTCAGAGACACCACTGCTTGCCTTTTCCCACCCTTTCCAGGCATATCCAGTTATCCCTGTTCAACAGGAGGGCTGCACACATTGCATTGCTGCTAAACTGCAAGCATTTGCAATCCTGTAAAAGTTACCTTCAGGTGTCGATAGTTGTGGGGTGACCCAAATGTTAGCATATAAATGGAATAATTAATAATTTCTTAGGGGAATGTATACTAACATTTTTGGCTTGCTTTTATGCAAAAAGCATTAAAGCATGGGGAGAGGCATTTCCATTTGTCCCTTCTGTCAAAGAGTGACTGTATGGGGTAAGAAGTAGCAGAAGCAACAGCAGTTCTTTCCGTGTGGAGCCAAGGGTCCCTGGGATGAATCAGGGCAGGGAAGAACTGCTCCAATCATAAAGAGAATGACCTTTCTTCCTTTCATTAGTATATCAGTCATAAGGATTCCAACAACCTTGTTTAGTGTGCACTTGCTTTCACTTGGAGTCCTGCATTGAGCAGGGAGTTGGATTCAGTGACTTTATAGGCCCCTTTCAACTCTGCTATTCTATGATTCTGTGATTCAGTTAATGGGATCTTAGTGCCAACATGTTACATAGGACAAAATATATGAAACAATGTTCAAATGGAGGCTTAGAAACATTTGACACTGAGGAATCCATTCTGAATGTGGAGAGTAGTGATTGTTCTGTTAGTAACTACTGATGGAACCAGTAGCAAACCATGAACCAAAAGGCAGGGACTGGGACAGCATGCCAGCCAGGCAGAGCAGACAAATCTGATATGAATATCACCTAGCTATGATTTATGCTTTATGGTTCTATGCAACTGAACCATGTTAGAAGTCTGTGCAAGAGGCATAAGGTCCAGAAATTAAAAGGAAAAGAATCCTGATTTTTGTGTTTTAACCATTCATGGGTAGCAGTCCAGAACTAAAGGGAAGAACCTCTCTTCACACCTCTCAGGTAGGGTGTGTGTGGACTCAAAGGGGGTTGTTTAACTTACAGTGAGCCATACTCTGATAAGCGTACTCTGGGGAGAAAAGAGGGTTGCTGTGTTATATCAGCCTGGATACCAAGGGTTATTTCAGGGCTAAACAATGCTCATGTAACCTGCAGTTTGTCATTTAACTGTGGAGAGTAGGCCTTATCAAATAACCTAGAGTGGCAAAGTTCACATGACACAGACAACCCTCTGATCAGTGGCTGCATATTCAAAATGTTGCCTAGCGCACAGCACAGCTCTTCACAAGTAAAACAAGTTTAGCTTTTCGGGCAAACTGAGCCAAAGCGTCTGTTTGATTTAAAATCTGTCCTGTGAATTGAAACATTTGGAACAGGAATTAATTGACACCAATAATTAAGAAGCTTGTTTCAAAGAGCCCACAAACACAGACTCTCAGGTTTATATTTCATTGAAACAGCTTTCTCAAACTTTGCAATCCCATTCTATGGCGAGGGACCTGAGAAACTTGAGTTTATGTTAATCAATAGGCAAATCAAAGGGGATGGCATGCTTCAATACTAATTCATTTGAGCTTTTGGCTCACATGTTTTGCACATTTTTTTTGTGTCATCCCAGATTGCATATGGAGGTGCTGAAACATCTCTATCAGAGTAATTCATTTAATAAAGAAGAGATGCCATGGCTCCAGCCATGCATATAAAAGATGTTCTTTGTCGTGGTCTCTGTGCATCACACATGGTGCTGCGCCTGCACAGTGCCTAAGGCCGGAAAGATTGCAAAGCTAACAGTTTTTGGCGGGAAACTCCGCTCCCCTCCCCCACAGTGCTATAAATAGAGCAGTGTGTTCACCATTTTCTCAGTCTTTTGCGACCGCAGTTCGCTGTGCCTCAAGCCTTTTCTCTCTCATTTGTATCGTTATCGTATCATATTGCTCTTACTGTTAACCTTTCTTGTTACTAGTTAGTGTTTTATTCAAGTTCCAAATTATTCTTCCTGTTCGAGTTCTTCTCTTACTCTCCTATTTATATATATATATATATATATATATATATATATATATATATATAAAATCTTACCTCTTCACTATCCTCTCCTTATTTCCTTCTCCGATGGCACAGCAGACGGCCTTACGCAAATGTTCCCAATGTGGGTCAAAGATATCGCCAGCCAACCCACATGATCTGTGCCTCCTTTGCCTTGGTGAGGGGCACAGAACCGATAAGTGCAGCCATTGTCAGGCCTTCATGAAGCAGGCGAGGAAAAACCGTGAAAACCGCCTGAGAAGGATGCTTTGGGACCAGGCCCTAATGCAGTCTGACCAACTGGCTGTTAAGACTGCTTCGGCTTCGGCTTCTGCCGCGCCTCCTCAGTGCCCATCAGCTGATGGTGCCCAGGTTGTGGAGACCCAACAACCTTCTTCTTCTCCCCACAAGAAAAAGGAAAAAAGGAAGCATGGAGGCTCTGATAAATCCTCCGGCCATAAGAAGCCAAGGAAGGAGAGGTCGGATAAGACGGCCCATAAGCCTAAGAAGCCGGATCAAGGTTGGCACTGTGATTCGGGATTGCCCACACCATTGATCCCAACGGCCACGATGGTACCAACGCCAACAGGCCCGTTCCTGCAGACCGCTATGCAGGTGACGCCTCCAGGGTCCCCTAGATGGGTCATTCGCTCGGAGCATTCATCTCCCGAGCGACCCGACGTGCCGCTTCACGAATCAATATCGGATGGTGAGATTCGTGATTCACCACCTACGGCACGTTCTCCAATGCTGATGCCGCAACCGAGACCAGTCTCATCCCGACATGGCACCGACGTCATTCTCTGGAGCAGCCCTTGGAGGAATGGGACCAACCTCGATATACCAGTCACCGCGGGGGTTGGGATGACTATTCATCCTTTACCTATTACCCATCAGCTTGATCTCCAGTACCAAGAGGAGACCCATCTACCTCCAGGGCATCTCGCCTCTCCAGGGGATTCATCCTCTAGCGGCCCAGTGCAGTATGGGTACGAATCGGACAACTCCGAAGTGGATTCGACTTCCCCTGATGTACCCATCACCACTCAGGGTCCGGGATCGCCTGAGGAACCCCACGTCACCTTTGAGGATCTGATGGCTAGGCTTGTTCGTTCGCTGGTGATCGAAGCACAACACCGAATTGATCCCAGCACGGACAAGTTCTATGACATTGTCAGAGGCAAGCAATCAGCAGCTATTATCCTACCGCTGATTACCACCCTACACCAGGCCATGGTGCAGCCTTGGGATCTGCCCGCCCAGCCACAACTGACATCGAGGAGGTATGAGGCAATGTATCGGGTTTGGGAGCAGGATATACCATTCCTCCTGCACCACCCGAAACCGAACTTGGTGGTCGTCGAGTCCTCTCAAGGAAGAGAGTCGCGGGGCCAAACCGCTCCCTGGGATAAAGAGGGACGGAAGATAGCTATGTTGGCACATCCAGCCTACGCGGCCTCTGGACTTAGGCTCCGCATATCTAACTATGAGGCAACGCTAGCCCAGTATCAGTATTTCCTCATGCAAAAGCTTGAGAATGTCATCGCTACAGTTGCTATGCACTGGACCAGCAAAGGGACCTAGCAAGGGTCTTCATCAAGGAAGCCATGCAGGTCTCGATACAGCAACTGTCAGCAGCGAGACATCACATGGACTCCGACTCCAGGGCTCTGGTTGGTGCCATCTCCCTCTGCCGATATGCATGGCTGTGGAGTTGCAATTTCCCCGATGAGATGAAGTGGCGAATTGAGGAAATGCCTTTTGACGGTTTCAGCCTCTTCCACTCCAGGACGGACCACAAACTCAAGTCTATACATGAGTCAAGGATGACTGCATGTCGAATGGAGCTTCCTTCCCAACCGAGACGTAAGTGGTCATGGTCCCGTTCTTCATACCGGCCCCAGCAGTATTCACAATTCCCAGGGAGGCAACAATTTCAGCAACGTCAGCAGCATCGGAAACAACCCCCACAGCAGCGGTTCCAGCAGGGTTGTCGTCGCTATGATTCCGACAAACGACAACACTGACGGGTTTGGCGAACCTCTCCTCTCCTCCTGCTCCCACCTTCCCCTCTCCCATTTGGGGATCGACTGCAAAATCCACTTCCCATTTGGGAGTCCATCACATCTGATAGGTGGGTTTTATCTATCATCCAGCTCGGATACAGAATAGAATTCGACACTGTTCCTCCATCGGGTCTGATCCAATTTACACCACGCTCACCAGTGCTAGTGGACGAAGTTATCCAACTACTTCGTAAAGGAGCAATCCGACAGATATCATGCTCTGAGGGTCTTCACGGATTCTATTCAAGATATTTTACGGTCCCTAAACAGGATGGTGGTCTCCGTCCGATCCTGGACCTTCAGGACATTAATAGGTTTATCAAACCTAAGAAATTCCGTGTGACCACTCTTCAGAATATCCTTCTGTTGCTGAGGAGAGAGGACTGGTTCACCTCCCTGGACTTAAGACATGCCTACTTTCATATTTCAGTTCATCCCAGTCATAGACATCTCCTACGTTTCGCTGTTGGTTCCAACATATTTGAATTTAATGTCCTCCCATTTGGCTTAGCCACTGCTCCACGGGTCTTCACTAAATGCATGACCCTGGTTTGCACGCACCTCTGGCTTCAGGGTATTCA